ATGAAAACTTATAACAAATTAGTAGTAGAAGCAAACTGCCTTAAACCAGTAGAAGAGCATTTTGTCAGTCATTGTACCCTGAAAGAACCCTTGAAATATTTTATCATTTTTAGGTCTTAGAGAATCTTGTAAAAATTGTTATGTCTATAGTTCATGTTTATTATCTAATCAGTAAATTGTGGATATGATAAGTCAATAATAATTGTCAGTTTTCTGTTGAGTAGAGAATGTCAGTTTTCTGTCTTTGTATTTTGTCCTATTTTTTTAGCCTACTCTTTTCCTTTGTGTGGTTCCTCCTTCCCAGATAGGGTATCAGCTTTAATGTGAGTCAGTAGTATAGGTAAAATTCAGTTTTTTCTGTGATATTTTTTAAAGATTTTATTTTATTTTATTTTTAGAGAGAGTGAGCAAGCAGGGAGAGAGGGTGAGGCACAGAGTGGGGGAGAGAGAATCTTAAGCAGGCTCCAGTCCTGACGTAGGGCTCAGTCCCATGACCCTGGGATCATGACCTGAGCTGAAATGAAGAGTCAGACACTCAACCAACTGAACCACCCATGTTCCTCTAAAGATTTTAGTTTTAAGTAATCTTTGCACCCAATGAGGGGCTTGAAGTCACAACCTTGAGATCAAGATTTGTATGCTCCACAGACTGAGCCAGCCAGGGGCCCCAGCTACGATTTTTTTTTTTTTTTTAAACCTTATCTAAGTAGGCAACTTACTTGTTCTCAGATGAACAGAAGAGTCAGAGAAAGAGTCCTTCTTCCAGGTGTAGATTTGTGTTGAAAGGTAGGAAAAACATTGTTTAATTTTGTTTTCTTAGTTCTTCTGGGTGGTTTTCAGTAATGCTTGAGACTTGCTAATATCCTTCCTCATTCTCCAGACCGAACAGCATTACAGAATTTTCTTTTGTCACACGACTTTTCCAGAGATTCTGTTTTCCTTCGAAGTCTTATCACTTAAAGCATTGTTTTTGAGGCTTGCAGAAACTTGTTCAGCCAGTTCGTAGGTTTAAAAAAATGTCTGCTATGAAAACTGGCTTCTGCAGTCATTCTTCATTTTCAAAGCATTCAGTAAAGTACGACCTTTCAGCTGAAATTCACCTTTTAGCTTAAATATTCTTTCAAGGACTCCTCTGCTAAGCCACTGAATTTCTGTACATAGATTTATGTGTTGAAGTGCACTAGTCTCTGCTTAATAAAGCAGATCATTTTTAAAGCATCGTTTGGGACATTTTTCATTTCAAGGGTTTTTGATTCCAGTACCTCTCTGAAGAAATAGTGTTTTGTGACGACATCAGAATATTTGTTTTTTCACAAGAGTTAAAACCTTGTATTGAGCCAACCATTGATGGGGCACATCAGTGAAGATAACAGAGCAGTTACTCTAAGAGAGACCTTTGTTTCCAGATGTGAAGGCACTACATCAAGTATATCCTGCTCTTCGCTTTGTCGTGGCAGTTCTTTGTGGCAGAGGAGTTTTTCTTGAAATTTGTCATTTAAAGATTCTGCACAAACTACATTTATTAGTGAAAAATGATGAATAGTGAATAGTGAATAAATTACTACATTTATTAGTGAAACCTGTTGATTTGTCAACTTGCATAGACAAGCTGTTGTTAGTTTGTTAAATTTGTGCAGCATTATGTGATGTGTCCTCAGTTTGTCGGCTTACCTTATACTTTTTGGTACTTTTCAATTTCTCATGCCATGCATTTTACTATCGTTTGACATGTTGTCATTATTAGGTTCCTACCAACTGTGATTTCCCTCCTCTAAGTCCCCTCTGTTCTGGGCAGTAAGTTCTATTACCAATAACTTGTTTCCTGAGCTTTTTCACTGAATGTGACTTTTTTTTTTTTACAAAAGCTTACCTCTGTTTCGTTTTGAGATTCCAGTAGCTATTTAAAATATTAAGTACATCGACTGTGTCCAGTGTCTGTGGCTTATAGTTAAGAATCTTTTCAGTTTTGCCGGAGCCATTACATATTGTTTGCTACAGACAGTGTACAATGAAATAAGACACCTTGGGTTACCAGCCCATCTAAAATGGGCGAGTAGCTTTTCATTAGAATGGTAGGCCTCTTTTTTTTTTTTTTTTTTTTTTTTAGATTTTATTTTTAAGCACTCTGTACCTAATATGGGGTCCTAACAACCCCGAGATCCAGTCGCATGCTGCCTGAGTCAGCTGGGTGACCCTAATTATTTTTAAGTTTTTATTTTAATCCTAGTGTAGTTAACATACAATGTTATATTTGTTTCAGGTGTACAATAAAGTGATTCAACAGGGGATTATAGTTTTTGATTACTAACCTTATTAGAATTGTTTGTGGTACTGGGCTTTGAATCCTCTCTGTCACTTAATCTCATCTTAAAAAATCATTGCACTGGACTGTCAGACATGTTTATAAAACAAATGCTAACAAATTATCAAACCACAGGGATTTATTAAATGAGAATATTTCAAAAAATAAACACTTCACGATGTATTTTACTTTTTTTTACTATGTGATCTGTGTTTTACAACATTTACAACAGCAAAGCAGCCTGGGGCAGGTGAGTCCTGGTATGTACAAATTCCTTGTTCAGAATGAATATTTCCCTCAGATTTCCTTTTTGCCAGCAGAGCTTGTGAACTCCCATGAGTGAGTTGGCGCTGTATAGTGGGAGGTTAGGGGAGGTAATTTGGAAGGGAATTGCTGACATTGTCAGCCTACTGTGCTCCCGTTTGTGCAATATAGAGCTTACCAATTATCAGTGGCTTCTCTCTATTTCATTGGAAACTGGTAATGGGCTTGTCCAAGTGAACATAGCCCTACTTGCCACGTGGTGCTAAAAGACCTGATGAAAACGTTGGCATGGCTGCTCAGTAGTTTGCCTGTTGCTGTGAGCCCTCAGGTTGCATGGTATGTGTGGTTGCAGAATTGATGTTTATTTTTTAGAATCACAGTTTCTCATGCTCCCCCTAGTGACATCTTATGGAACCCTAGGATTCTGTGGAATACTGGTCAAGCACCCTGTGATGAGATGGTATCTGTGAAAACCCAAATACTTAGGGTAAAACAGTGGAATGGTTTTCTCCTGAGGTCAGAAAAAGATAAAAGGTACTGATTGTCACAACATCTGTTGGGTATTACACTGGAAGTCCCCCCTAGTGCAGTGAAGCAGGAAAAAAGAAATAACAGATGTAAAAACTGTAAAGGAAGAAGTAGAACTGTAGATGACATGATTAAATACATAGGAAAGCCAAGAGAATATGCAAGCTGTTAGAATTAAGGTTGATAAAAATAAGGCCACTATAAAAAAAAGCCAATTTCTACGAAGTTGCAAGAAAAAAAATAGCGAAATAAAATACAAAATGCAATACACCAAAAATCATCTAGTGATCAGGAAGGAATTTAACAAAGGTGTGTAATTGTTCTTCACTGAAAACTAGCTTTAGAGTGTTACGTAGTCTCTCTATGCATCCTTCATTTTTTTTTTTTTTTCATTTTTCTTAACTCCTGATTGAAGAGCAAGAAATAAGGAAGTAATTTTGAGTTTCTCAGGTTTATCTCTCTTGCTCTTTTTTTTTCCCCCTCATTTTGTTATAACAGGTTTTCACTTGATAATTTGACAGCTGTGTTTGGCTTCTCTGTTTACATAGTTCAGTGAAAATGGTTAGGCTTTCATACAATGAATATTACTTTCGTTTTTCAGCTTGTTCTGATTGTAAAAATCCCATATTTAAATTTAAATATAATAATAAAGATAGGGCTAGTGCTTTTTTATTTTTCTTGAGATGTATTCATTCTTTTCTGCTTAGATTTTAAGATTAACTTGGCCTTTGATAATTTTATATTTAACTTAATGGGGGGAAGTTTTTAATGTGAAGAAAACTAAGGCAAATATGTTAGATTTAATCAGTGTTAATGGAGGATACAGAATAACTATTTTGTTTATTTTTTACTTTCCCCCCTAAAGTTTATTTATATATATATATACACGTGTGTGTGTGTATATATAGAGAGAGAGCATCTTCTCTCACACGCGCGAGCATCTTCTTGTGTGAGCAGGGAGGGGCAGAGAAAGAGGGAGAGAGAGATTCCCAAGCAGCCTTTGTGCTGTCAGCACAGAGCCTGATGGCTGGACTCAATCCTGCAAACTGTGACATCATGACCTGAGCTGAAATTAAGAGCAGGATGCTCAACCAACTGAGCCATCCAGGCGCCCCTGGATACTTGGTTTTAATTGATGTATAGCTATAAATACTTCAAGATTTATAGATTTAAAGGGAAGAAAGTACAGGTATTCGTTTTCTATTGCTGCTGTAACAAATTACCACAAACTTAGTGGCTTAAAAAAGCACAAATTTATTATTTTACAGTTTTAGAAGTCAGAAGTCCAAAATCCATCTCACTGGGCTGAAGTCTGGGTGTAGGCAGGGCTGGTTCTTTCAGGGGGCTCTCTGAGGGAACTTCCTGTTTTTTCTTTAAAAAAAAAATTTTTTTTTAACATGTATTTAATTTTTGAGAGGGTGTGAGCAGGGCAGAGACAGAGAGAGAGGGAGACACACAGAATATGAAGCAGGCTCTGGGCTCAGACTCATGAACTGTGAGATCATGACCTGAGCCGAAGTCGGATGCTCAACCCACTGAGCCATCCAAGTGCCCCTGTTTTCTTTTTTGACTTATAGAGCCTGTCTGCATTTTGTCTGCATTTCATGATACTTGTCCTTTCTTGCATCACTCCGACCTCTTCCACTGTCCCATCACTGACTCTGAGGTCTCCCTTTTCCCCTTAGAAACACTTGTGATTATATTGGGCCCACCTGAATAATTCCCAGTAATCTCTCCATTTCAGGATCCTTAATTTAGTCACACCAGTGAAGTCCCTTGGGCCACATAAGGTAACATAGTCACAGGTTTCAGGGTTTGGGCATGGAAGTCTTTGGAGAGGTTGCAGTATTTGGGAGAGGGGATGCAAAATGTACTGACAACAGTACATAATTACAAAATTATGGTTTTAATTTTTTTAATCCATCACACCAGTTGTGAGTTTGGTTAGTAAATTTCCATCTGTCCTTATGCCAGTCAGTTCATGCAAACATCAACAGGGTTTTTTTTTTATTAAAAAAAAAAATTTTTTTTTTCAACTTTTTTTTTTTGGGGGACAGGGAGAAACAGAACCAGGAGGGGGGGGGGCAGAGAGAGAGGGAGACACAGAATTGGAAACAGGCTCCAGGCTCCGAGCCATCAGCCCAGAGCCTGATGCGGGGCTCGAACTCACGGACCGCGAGATCGTGACCTGGATGAAGTCGGACGCTTAACCAACTGCGCCACCCAGGCGCCCCATCAGGGTTTTTAATTTTTGCAATGAATTGATTTTTTGGGTGGGGGGAGAGAGAGTGTGTGAGTGGGGGAGAGGGGCTGAGGCGGGGGAGAGAGAGAATCTTAAGCAGGCTCTACACTTAGCACAGAGCTTGATAATGGGGCTGGGTGTCACAACTGCGAAGATCATGACTTGAGCCACAATCAAGAGTCAGATGCTTAACTGAGACTCTCAGGCACCCCTGTAATGAACTGATTTTAAATTCACAGGAGGGTTTTGTTTGGAGGACTTTAAAAAAGTTTTTTTTATTTTTTAATGTTGATACATTTTTTTTGAGCACGTGCGAGCAGAGGAGGGGCAGAGAGGGAGACACAGAATCTGAAGCAGGTTCCAGGCTGTGAGCTGTCAGCACAAACTGACACGGGGCTCAAACTCATGAACTGTGAGATAATGGCCTGAGCTGAAGTTGGACGCTTAATTGACTGAGCCACCCAGGTGACCCTGCATGTTTTTATTCAATAATTTGTTCTGGACTGCTTTCCAAATTAGCACATAGAGAACATCTGCATTTTCTTTTTAAACATCTGTATAGTAGCATAGATGTTCTATAGTTTAATCAGTCTGGGTGATTTAATCAATTGCTGGCCACATATTGTTTATAATATTTTCCTTTTGCAACCAGAGCTGCAGTGACTGTGTCACTTATTTTAAGTTGTGCTATAAGGTAAATTCCTAGAAATGGATTGCTGTGTCAAAGTGTTTAAATGCATTTATATTGCCAAATTGTGTTCCCTAGGAGTTGTGTCAGTGTGCATTTTTACCAGCAGTGTGTGGGAAGGCCTGTTTCTTTACACCCTCATTGATAGAGTCATCAAATACGGATTTTTGATGAGGCACCTGGGTGACTCAGTTGGTTAAGCATCTGACTTCGGCTCAGGTCATGATGTCGTGGTTTGTGAGTTCGAGCCTCACATCAGGCTCTGTGCTGACAGCTCAGAGCCTGGACCCTGCTTCAGACTCTCTGTCTCCCTCTCTTTCTGCTCCTTCCCTGCTCACACTCTGTCTCTCTTTCAAAAATAAATAAACATTAAAAAAAAAAAACATAAAAAATATGGATTTTTGCCAGTGTAATGGTTATGAAATATTTTGGTGTAAGTTGAGTATCTTTTCATATATTTAAGGTTTTTTGCATTTCCTTTTCTGTGATTTATATGCTCCTGACTTTGGGTCATTTTCCTATTAGGTTTTTGGAGCTGTTAAAATATTAGGAAGATTAGCTCTTTGTGATAATGAGCTGAAAATATTTTTTCTCAGTTTATCATTTGATTTTTTAGAGCTGCAAATTTGAACTCAGTTCTGTTTGATTTTTATAGTCCATTCTGTTCATCACTATAATCGTGTTGCCTCAAATGATACATGTTCTACATTCCTGAAAGATTCCCTTACTTGTATCTATTACTTAATACATGTAGCATTTTAAAACTGTCTCCTAATAACAATGTTTTCCCTCAATAGACACGGCATCAGCGAGGAGATACACATCCTCTCACTTTAGAAGAAATTTTGGATGAAACACAACATTTAGATATAGGACTCAAGCAGAAACAATGGTTAATGACTGAGGTAAGACTAGGCTTAAAATAGCATTAAGAAAGTTGGTTACCATGAAATATTTGCTGTAACTAAGATTTTTAATATACTGAAATCTGATAATAATTTTGACTTAAAAGAATTGGCATAGGGTCTTTGTTTTTGTTTTTTTAAACATACACATTTTAAGGTGGTTTGATTTATTGGTTTTCTTAAGATCTTATGTATCTATTTCAAAATGTCGAAGACTTTAGCATAAAAATTATAAAGAAGTCTGTCATTGTACCACTTCATTTAAGTTTTTCCAGAATAATTGCTTTTTTTTAATTGCTAAATTTAGAATGTATTTTGTCAAGTTGTATTGTTTTTATGTATGTTTTAGACATTTATACCATGAGGTAGTATAGGGATAATGAGATATTTGTTATGCTGTTACTACTATTATGATGTGATGGTGATATTATTGCGTCTAACAGATTACTTCAAAAACTAATCCTTAACATTGTGTATGTACACACATCATTGGAAGAAAAGAAACCCCACAATAATCAGCGACCATGCTAATTTAGAAATTAATAGCTTTTTAAAAATTCACACATTTCCCTCATTTCTACTTAAGTATGAAATGATAATTAAGAAGAATACTTTGTGTGACCAGTGCTGTATTCTAAAAATCAAATGTAAAGTTCCTAAAATATAACTTAATAATTTATTTTACTAAGCAAGATACTGTACTTGATTTTTATAAAATGAACAGTTAATCAGTAGCATTATAGCTCATTGTATCAGTGATGCATAAATAGTTGTAATCCACATTTAAATTCTGTTGCTTTACCCAATCTTGAAATTTCATGGACTACCAACATTAGTTTAAAATTATTACTACTTTTCTGTTCCCCCTCCTTTCTTCTTTGTTTCTTCTCTTTCTCCTTTCCAGGGTCAGGCTGGCAGCTGCAGAAGAAAATAAATAGGATAGCTCTTCTTTGAGGAGCTTTCCTTCTGATAGTAGCTATATAGCAGAACTAAGAATATAATTCATATTCAGTAATTCCTGCATTCCTACTCAGTTTCATTCTCAAGCTGCTGTTACCGGTAGATTTCTTATATGCACAAGTCTGGTACTTTTCAGTTCCTTCCACACCTATAAGTACCATTTGATACCAGGTGGGGCAGACTATTGATAAAGTCCTCCCAGGGTTATGTTTCTTGCATAGTGCCAGTATGCGATAAACTGTACTTTGAGGGTGGGATGGGCAATACCCAGTTCACTTGTTTATTAATGTTAACTGGTGTTTATTCTTTTTTTTTTTTTTTTATCTTCCAAGAGAATCTGGGTATAGTTTCTTCAAATCTGTTGTGATAAAATGGTTTTTCTCATTTAAATAATTGATGTAGATAATAAGTTTCTTTTATAAAAAGTGAGCAACATGGTGATCTCTACCTGTTGTTTTTGGATCCTGGATGTCCAGTATTTTAGATATGCTAGTTGATATTCGCAAGATACTTTTAACATACAACTATATTGGGTTTGATGTTTTTAAAATAATTAATAGAATTTAAGAATGTATATATGAGGTTTCCTTTTGTTAATATATCCAAATTCTGTCATCATTACAGGCATTAGTCAATAATCCGAAAATTGAAGTGATAGATGGGAAGTATGCCTTCAAGCCCAAATACAACTTGAAAGATAAGAAAGCCCTACTTAGGCTGTTAGATAAGCATGACCAGCGAGGCTTAGGAGGAATTCTTTTAGAAGACATAGAGGAAGGACTACCCAATTCCCAGAAAGCTATCAAGGTAACATTTCTTTTCTTTTTGTGCCTTAGTATAATTTGAATTAATAATATCTTGTTTTAAAAAACAGCAAGTGTTTTACAATTTTTATTTTTAAATGTTTATTTTTGAGAGAGGGTGAGAGGGTGCACGTGTGTGCATGAGCCGGGGAGGGGCAGAGAGAGAGGAAGAGGGAGAGAGAATCCCAAGCAGGGTCTGCACTGTCAGTGTAGGGTCCGATGCAGGGCTTGAACTCATGAACCATGAGATCATGACCTGAGCCAAGGTTAAGAGTCAGATGTTTAATGGACTGAGCCACCCAGGTGCCCTGGTGATGAGAACTTGTACAATTTACTCTCTTAGTAGCTTTTAAATAAACAATACGGTTTTATTAACTGTACTTAGTGTGCTATATATTACATCCCCATGACTTTTTTACTTATTTATTTTATAACTGATAGTGTATACTTTTTGACTCCTTCATACATCCATCTCCCATCTGCTGTGTCTGACAACCACTAATCTGTTTTCTATTGATGAGCCTTTTTTTTTTTTTTTTTTTAGATTCCACATAAAGGTGAGATCATACATTTGTCTTTTTCTGACTTATTTCACTTAGCATAATGGCCTCAAGGTCCATCTATTTTTTTGCATATGGCAAGATTTCACTCTTTTATGGCTAGATAATATTTCAGGTGTGTGTGTGTGTGTGTGTATCAGATTTTCTTTATCCACGTATCCATCAATGGATACTTAGGTTGTTTCTGTATCTTGGCTATTGTGAACAATGGTGCTGTGTGCAAGGGAGTGCATGTATCCTTTTCAGTTAGCATTTTTGGTTTCATTGGATAAGTACCAGAACTAGATTACTGAAGTATAGGGTTGTTCTATTTTCAATTGCACCAATTTACATTCACACCAACAGTGCATGAGAGTTCCCTTTTCTCCACATCTTCTCCAACAGTGATACCTTGTCTTTATAATAATGGCTATTATTAACAGGTGTGAGATGATACCTCATTGTGGTTTAGCATTTCCCTGATGATGATGTTGATTGTGTTGGTTGTCATTTGTAGATCTTCTTTGGAAACATGTATTTGTGATCCTCTTCCAATTTTTAAATTAGACTGTTTTTTTGGTGTCAGGTTCCATGAGTTCTTTACATATTTGTGATTTTTTTTTTTAATGTTTATTTATTTCTGAGACAGAGCATGAGTGGGGAGGGGCAGAGAGAGAGGGAGACACAGAATCCAAAGCAGGCTCCAGACTCTAGGCTCTCAGCTGTCAGCACAGAGCCTGACATGGGGCTCGAACTCACAGACCATGAGATCATGACCTGTACATATTTTTGTGATCTTAACCCCTAATCAGGTACACGATTTGCAAATATTTTCTCCCATTCAGTAAGTTGCCTTTCCATTTTATTGGTTTCATTTGCTGTGCAGAAGCTTTTTAGTTTGATGCAGTGCCACTTTTTTGCTTTTGTTGTCTTTGCTTTTGATGTCAAGTCTGACAAATCAGATTTGATTGATGTCAAGTCTGACAAATCATCTCCAAAGCTGATATCAGGAAACTTATCCACCTGTGTTTTCTTCTTCGTCTTTTATGGTTTCAGGTCTTATATTCAGGTTCTTAATTCATTTTAAGTTAATTTTTGTTAATGGTGTAAGATAGTGGTCCAATTTCATTCTTTTGCATGTAGCTGCCCAGTTTTTCCAGCACCACTTATTAAAGAGACTGCCCTTTGTGCATTGTTATTCTTGGCTCATTTGTCATAAATCTGTTGACCATGTATGCATATATGGGCTCTCTATTCTGTTTCATTGATCTGTGTAACACTTTTTTTTGTCAGTACTATACTCTTTTGATTACTGTAGCTTTGTAATATAGTGTGAAATCAAGAAGTGTGATACCTCTAGCTTTGTTCTTTCTCAAGATTACTTTGGCTATTCAGGATCTTTTGTGGTTCCATGTAAGTTTTAGGATTAGTTTATTCTTTTTGTATGGAAAATGCCATTGGAATTTTGATAGGGATTGCATTGAATCCATAGTTTGCTTTGGATAGTATGGCCATTTTAATAATGGTCCTCTTCCAATCCATGAGCATGGTGTATCTTTCCATTTATTTGTGTTGTCTTCAGTTTCTCTCATGAATGTCTCACACTTTGCAGTGTAGAGGTTTCTTACGTCCTTGGTTAACTTTATTCCTAGATATTTTATTCTTTTTTTTTTTTTTTTAAATTTTTTTTTTCAACGTTTATTTATTTTTGGGACAGAGAGAGACAGAGCGTGAACGGGGGAGGGGCAGAGAGAGAGGGAGACACAGAATCGGAAACAGGCTCCAGGCTCTGAGCCATCAGCCCAGAGCCTGACGCAGGGCTCGAACTCACGGACCGCGAGATCGTGACCTGGCTGAAGTCAGACGCTTAACTGACTGCGCCACCCAGGCGCCCCGATATTTTATTCTTTTTGATGCACTGGCAAATGGGGTTATTTTCTTAATTTCAGATAGTTTGTTATTAGTGTAGAGAAATGTAACTTATTTCTGTATATAGGTTTTGTATCCTGTGACTGTACTGTATTTATTCTAAAAGTTTGGTGAGTCTTTAGGGTTTTCTATATATGTCGTATTATCTGAAATTACTGACACTTTTTGTTCTTCTTTCCAATTTGGATGCCCTTAATTTCTTTTTCTTATTTAATTGCTCTGGCTAGCACCTCCAGTAATGTGTTGAATAAAAGTGACAGGAACAGGCATTCTTGTCTTGTTTCTGATTTTAGAGGAAAAGTTTTTGGTTTTTCACCAGTGAGTGTGATATTAACTGTGGAATTGTCATAAGTGGACTTTATTATGGTAAGGTGTATTCCCTGTATACCCAGTTTGTTGATGGGTTTTTTTTTTTTTTGTTTTTGTTTTTTATCGTGAGTGGATGTTGAATTTTGTCAAATGCTTTTTCTGCATTTATTGAGAGGTCATATGATTTTTCCAAGTTTCATGTTGTTAATGTGGTATATCACATTGTTTGATTTGTGCATTTGAACCTTGCGTCCCTGGAATAAATCCCATTTGATCATGGTATATAATCCTTTTAGTGTATTGTTGAATTCTATGTGCTAATACTGTGTTAGGATTTTTGTGTCTGTATTCATCAGAGATGTTGGCCTATCAATTTTTTTCTTGTGGCATCTGTGTCTGGTTTTGATATCAGGTTAATGCTAGCCTCATAAAATGTGTTTGGAAGTATTCCCTTCCCCTATTTTGGAAGAGTTTAAGAAGGATCGATATTAATTCTTTTTTGAATGTTTGGTAGAATTCATCAATTAAGTTGCCTGGTCTTGGACTTTTTTTGTTGGGAGATTTTCTTTTTTTTGGATCACTGATTTTTTTTCAATGTTTATTTATTTTGAGAGAGAGAGAGTGTGTGAGCAGGAGAGGGAGACACAGAATCCAAAGCAGGCTCCAGGCTCCGAGCTGTCAGCACAGAGCCCAATGCAGGGCTCGAATTCACAAACCGTGAGATCACAGCCTGAGCTGAAGTCGGGTGCTCAGCTGACTGAGCCACCCAGGGGCCCCGAGATTTTTCTTATTTTTGGTGTAGGCATTTATAGCTTTGAATTTCCATCTTAGAACTGCTTTTGCTTTATCTCATAAGTTTTGGTGTGCGGTATTTCCATTTTCTTTTGTCTCAAAGTATTTTTAATTTCTCCTTTCATTTCTTTGTTGACCCATTAGTTGTATAGTAGTATATTGTTTAGCCTCCACATGTTTAATGTGTATTTTGCATTTTTCTTCTTATAACTGATTTCTGTTTCCATACTATTGTGGTCAGAAACGATACTTGAGGGGCACCTGGGTGTTCAGTAGGTTAAGTGTCCAGCTTCAGCTCAGGTCATAATCTCGTGGTTTGTGAGTTTGAGCCCCATGTTGGGCTCTGTACTGACAGCACAGAGCCTGGAGCCTGCTTCGGATTCTGTGTCTTCCTCTCTCTCTGCCCCTCCCCTGCTCGCACTCTGTCTCTGTCTTTCTCAAAAGTAAACATTAAAAAAAAAGATGATATGCTTTAGGTATTCTTAAATTGATTGAGATTTGTTTTCTGTCTAACGTGCTATCTATTCTGGAGAATGTTCCATGTGCACTTGAAAAGAATGTGTATTTTGGGGGTGCCTGGGTGACTCAGTCGGTTAAGTGTCCGACTTTGGCCCAGGTCATGATCTCGCGGTTTGTGAGTTCGAGCCCCACGTTGGGCTCTGTGAGCCTGGAGCCTGCTTCAGATTCTGTGTCTCCTCCCCCTCTCTCTGCCCCTCCCATGCTCATACTCTGTCTCTCTCTGTCTCTCAATAATAAATGTTAAAAAATTTTTTTTTAAAAATAAAATGTATTTTGCTGTGTTTGGATGATATGTTTGGTATGTATCCGTTAATTCTGCTGTCCTGATGTATTAAGGCCAGTATTTCCTTACTGATTTTCTGTCTGGATGATCTATTCATTGATATAACTGGGGTATAAACTCTACTGTTACTTTATCACTGTCAACTTATTACTTTGTTAATATTTGTTTTATGTATTTTGGTGGCCCTATGTTGGGTACAAAGATATCCTGTTTTTGGATTGATCCCTTTATCATGATGTAATGCTGTCTTTGACTCTGTTACAGACTTTTGTAGTCTGTTTTGTCTGATATAAGTATTGCCAAGTCAGCTTCCTTTTGGTTTCCATTTGCAGAGAATGTCTTTTTCATCTCACTTTGAGTAGCTGTGTGTCTTTAGATCTTAAGTGAGTCTCTTGTAGACAGCATATACCTGGGTCTTGTTTTCATCTTGTCTTGTTTTATCCTTTCAGCCACCCTATGTCTTTTGATTGGAGCATTCAGTCCATTTATATTTGAAGTAGTAATTGGTAGGTATGTACTCATTGCCATTTAATTTGTTGTTTTCTTTTTTGTTTTTGTTCTGTTTTTTCTTCTTTTTTGGCTTTCTTCCCTTGCGATCATACTTTTCCTTAGTGTTTTGTTTTCCTTTCTCTTTATTTTTTTAGTGTATCTCTTATAGGTATTTGGCTTGTGTTTATCATGAGGTTCATACATAGAATCCTATGTATATAGTGGTCTATCGATGTTGATGGTCGTGTAAATTCAGATATGTTCTAAAAGCCCTACATTTTTACTGCCCCACCCCCGTTTTGTTTTCATGTCATATTTTATATCTTATTTTTTTGTGTTCTTCGACCAATTATTGTAGGTGTAGATGATTTTATTACTTTTGTCTTTTAACCATCACACTATATAGGTGGTTGATCTACTACCTTCACTATATGTTTACCTTTACCACTAAAATGCCTTCTTTTATAATTTTCTTGTAGTTACAGTCTTTTCATTTATAGAAGTCCCTTTAACATTTCTTATAAGGTTGGTTGGTTGTTGAATTCCTTTAACTTTTGCTTGTACGGGAAACTCTTTCCTTCACGTCTGAGTGATAATCTTGCTGGGTAGAGTAAGTTCTTGGTTTTAGGTTTTTTACTGTCATTGCTTTGAATATGTCGTACCATTCTCTTCTGGCCTTTGAATTTTTGTCTGAAAAACCAACTTCTAGTCTTAGAGGGGTTCTGTAGGTTGTAAATAGTTGTTTTTGATTTTAAGAATCACTCTTCCTCTTGGGGTGCCTGGGTGGCTTAGTTGGTTAAGCATCTGACTCTTGATTTCAGCTCAGGTCATGATCTCATGGTTTGTGAGATCGAGCCCCGCTTTGGGTTTTATGCTGACAGTGCAGAGCCTGCTTGGGATTCTCTCTTTCTGCCCCTCCCCTGCTTATGCTCTCTCTCTCTCTCAAAATAAATAAACCTAAAAAAAAAAAAAAATCAACTTTTTAAATTGTTGATAATTGTATTCTAGTGTATCTTGGCATAGCTCTTTTTTGGTATAGGTCTCTTTTGTTCATCTTATTGGGGACTTTCTGTATTTCCTGGACTTGGATGTCTGTTTCCTTTGCCAAGTCAGCGAAGTTTCCAGCCATTATTTTTTTAAGTAGGCTTCTTTCCTTTTTCTCTTCTCCTTCTGGGATCCCTATAATTTGAATATTAGTATGCTTGATGTTGTCCCAGAGGTTCCTTAAACTATCCTCATTTTTAAAAACTGTCTTTTTTCTTTTTGCTGTTCTGATTGGGTGATTTCCACTACCCTGTCTTACAAATCACTGATCCATTTTTTCTGTGTCATTTGATCTGCAGTTGATTCCCTGTACTGTAGTTTTCATTTCAGTTATTGTATTCTTCAGCTCTGATTTTTCAGCTTTTTACATTTTCTCTTTGTTGAAGTTCTCACCGTGTTCACCTGTTTTTCTCCTGAGTTTGGTGAGCATTTTTATGACTATTACTTTGAACTTTTTATCTGAACTATTTTTCAAAGTATTTTATGTCATGAATAATTTATATAAATAAGAATGAAAGGATGGTGAAAAACAACTTTACTGGAAATTTTTATAAGATTTTAACATAGCAAACTTCTGTATCAAGTGTATTTTGGCAAACACATCAGAAAGATGAAAGAATACTATTATACGTCTTTTTAGCAAAGTGAAATGGCAAAGGTTCATATCACATAGTATTGTACAGTGAATTCCTTCTTGTTGAAAAACTAACTGAAGGAAAATACCTTATATATTTAAGTCCTTAGCAATATGTCATTCAATCATTGATTCTTAAGCTTGAGGTGATTCATCTATGGTATTGTTGTCCAAAGACTTACAGGTTTAGATTTTATTTCTATAATGAATTTCACCATCATCAGAGTCTAGAGTGAGTGCTACTATCAGGCTTTCTGTATTCTTGTTCTCATTCATTAATAATGGTGAAGTATGTTCCGTTAGTTTTCTTGTCATTGCTCTAAGGCGCAGAAAATAAAAAATTGTGAACTGTCAAATATTTAATGAAAGCTAAAAGATAACAAAGACCACTCTGTAGTCTTTTATATTTTCTGAAAGATAATGCAATAGTTTGGGCAGTGCAATAACACAAATTGAATCACACTTCTAAGTGATAGAATTTCACTGTTTCACTATTATATTACACTTGTAGGTGATACAACCTTTCTTTCCTTTTTTAAAAAAACTTTTTACTCTTTATAATGTTTATTTATTTATTGAGAGGGGGAGAGAAAGCTGGGGGGGGGGCGGGGAGAGAGAAACCCAAGCAGGCTCCATGCTGTCAGCAAAGAGCCCAATGTGGGGCTCAAAACCATGAACCATGAGATGATGAGCTGAAATCAAGAGTCAGACACTTAAACTGACTGAGCCAGCCAGGTGCCCCACAATTTTAGCTTTTTAAAGCATAATTGGAAATAATTGCTAATGGTAAATAAGTGGCAAAATATTTTATTAAATTTTTTTTTTTCAACGTTTATTTATTTTTGGGACAGAGAGAGACAGAGCATGAACAGGGGAGGGGCAGAGAGAGAGGGAGACACAGAATCGGAAACAGGCTCCAAGCTCCAAGCCATCAGCCCAGAGCCCGATGCGGGGCTCGAACTCCCGGACCGCGAGATCGTGACCTGGCTGAAGTCGGACGCTTAACCCACTGCGCCACCCAGGCGCCCCGTGGCAAAATATTTTAAAGTAGAGGGAAAGTAAGAACACTAAGATCACACAATTTTTCTTAGATTAATAAAAGGCTCCAATGGACCTACATTAAATTGCAACATAGGTTGGATTTTTTCAAAAATAAGTAAGGTTTCTTTCTGTACTTTGGAAATCTCTAAGAATAAAACTCTTGAAATATCAATACATAAAAGTAGTGAGAATTGCTCATTGAAAGAAATTTGAGAATTAAAATTGGGTATAGTAGACCCTAATGGTATACTGAAGGTTAAAAGAAATAGGAGTCCTGGGGCACCTGGGTGGCTCAGTCAGTTAAGTGTCCAACTCTTGGTTTTGGCTCAGGTCATGATCTCACGGTCATGGTTTCAAGCATTGCATTGGGGTGCATGCTGACAGCGCTGAGCCTGCTTAGGGTTCTCTCTCCTCTCTCTTTGCCCCTCCCTGGTGCACACGCGCTCGTGTTCTCTCTCTCTCTCTCTCTCTCTCTCTCTCTCTCTCTCTCTCTCTCTCTCTCTATCTCTCTGTCAAATAGACTTACAAGGAATACTACTTTTTTTTTTATTAAAAAAAATATTTTGTTGGGGGGAGGTAATTTGGAAGTTAACTGAAAAAAATTTTGTTTTTTTGTCTTTTAAGGCTTTGGGGGACCAGATACTATTTGTAAATCGTCCTGATAAAAAGAAAATTCTTTTCTTCAATGATAAGAGCTGTCAGTTTTCTGTGGATGAAGGTGAGCCTTTCTGTTTAGTTTTCAAATATTACAAATACAGGGTGACAAATTTATATTTATAATCCTATTATAGGTGTGCCTGGGTGGTTCAGTCAGTTAAGCGTCCTACTTCTGCTCAGGTCATGATCTCATTGTTCATGAGTTCGAGCCCCATGTCCGTCTCTGTGGTGAGAGCTCAGAGCCTGGAGCCTGTGATTCTGTGTCTCCTTCTCTCTCTGCCCTTCCCCCCGCTCCTTGCTCTGTCTCTTTTTCAAAAGTAACATAATTCTCTGTTAACAAATTTTGTAGTAGTGCTTTTTTAGCCTTATCTTTTAGAACACAACTAATCTTCTAACATATTGTTTCTGAGAATGCAATTTGAAATATGGAATTTGAAAGATTTTAGGTTATTTGTACTTGTAATCATATAGTAGGTTAGATATTTTATGCTTATATGTCAGCGGTACCAGTTTATTTCTTTATTTCTATTATTTTACAAATACTACATATCTTGATGTGAAAGCTTGATGCAGGATGGGAAAAAGAACAAAATTCTGTTGGTGACCAATATTAAGTAATTTATAAGTTGATTATCAGATTGGATAGGGAAGATGACTTTTTTCTCTGACTCTTGTAGAGTCAGATGCTAATAAGCTTATGGTGAATCTCATACTAAATGTGTGATGCCTGTGTTTGGATTTTAATTAAAAATACTTCATTAATACTTGTCAGGTAAAATAGTTAAACAAGGGTTTAGTCATGGGAAATCTATACCTATACAAGTAGAAATTCTCACTTAGGGACCCTGGGTGTCTCAGTCAGTTAAGCGACTGACTTCAGCTCAGGTCATAATCTCGCAGTTTGTGATTTGGAGCCCCACGTTGGGCTCTGTGCTGACAGCTCAGAACCCGGAGCCTGCTTTGGATTCTGTGTCTCCTGTCTCTCTTTGATCCTCCCCTGCTTGTGCTCTGTTTCTCTCTCAAAAATAAATAAATAAAAATTCTCATTTAAACATGTGTGAGACTGTACTGTAAATTTGTATTAATTTTGAACTAAAAAGGCAAGAAAAGAATTAAACACCATTTTAATTATAAAAGTTGAAAAGTAATACAAACTTACACCAAAATATCTTAACATTATAGAATTACATAAAATAAAAAAGTAATATTAAATTCCAAATAGTGAAACTATTGTTATGCATGCCTGGTAGTCCTAGTGACTTTCGTTTATTGTATTAAATAAAAGAGTTTCTGTTGAAGGAATAATTTTGTATAAAAATGCACATGTAATTCTTGTCCCTTTAGTAGCCCATACATGTCTTACGATTTTGCAATTTTTGCAATAGCTCTTAAGTTTTTCTTTTATTTGTTATCTGGCTGCAGATATTAGGCTTCTGGTGCTTGTAGATAGGAGTTTAGTCAACCTGAAGTTACGCAGATGACCATGATTTGTTTTAGGAAGTAGAATGTTGTGTTTTGTTGGAAAATCATGATTGAGAGTACCTTGTATATAGTTGGTTCTCAATAAATGTTTTTTACTGTAAATAAAAAATTTCAAAGCATTCCAGTTATTCTGTATTGCACTTTCTAATAAATAAAGTAAGCTTTCTGTATGTCAATAAGGTAGTAGTGACCTTCTATACACTGTAGTGATACTCATTTAAGAAAGTTTGGCTTAGCAGTTTTCGTATTGCTTGAGTTGCTTTTTGAAAACTTTTATACTTGTCATACTGATTTGACACTTTGAAAAAACATAGTGGTGGACTTGATCCTTAAGATATTTACAAGTTTAAAAAAAATAGCTGATTCCTTTATTCTTTGGCATAGCTAATCCATTTGAAAGCAATTTGCAGTATTAAAAAAAAATCACAAGTATCACGTGTTCCAATAGGAAGATCTTACAATGAAAAGCAGATACATTTTTCCTTTCACTAATTGGAGGCCCTTTCATTTGTGGCCATACTTAACTGGGTTTACTTAAAATTTTTTTTGTTTTTAGTGTTTGTTTATTTTTGAGAGACAGAGTGTGAGTCAGGGAGGAGCAGAGAGAGAGAGAGGGAGATACAGAATCTGAAGCAGGCTTCAGGCTCTGAGCTATCAGCACAGAGCCCAGTGAGGGGCTCGAACTCACAAACCGTGAGATTGTGACCTGAGCTGAAGTCGGACGCTTACCAACTGAGCCACCCAGGTGCCCCTAACTGGATTTATTTTAATTCTTTGAGTGGTTTTCCCCTTATAATATGGTTATATTTTTATTTCTTGATTTTTCAGCTTGAAGTATTATAATGACTTTTTCTTACCATGTTGCTGATTCCACCTGCTGTCTCTCTTCTTCACTTTCTAATATAGTATAGCACTAGTTTTAGTTCCCCCTACCATTTTTCTTGATACCTTTATCAATCAAAACATTCTCTGGGAATTTTTAGTATTAAGTCTGCTCTGCAGATGGCAGCATGGTGTAGCATATCTGTTGTGTTATGTAGATGTGTAATTTGAGGCAAATGTTGAGGTTGCAGTAGCTTGCTAAGAATAGCATGGACCTCTAGGTTTTCTTGGTAAAATTTCATTGGAGAAATTTTAGGAGTATACTTAATTTCCGCTGTAATCCTCACACTAAACATTATACCAAGCCATTATTTTCTGTCCCCTGTTGCGATTTTTTGTGGATATCACTGTTTTAACTTTGCTCAGCCTTTTCCTGTTTGCGTTATCTTTTTCTAAAGTTCTATTCTTTAATATTATCCCTATTTTCATTTGCTGTTTTATATGGCCTTTGTTGGCTTAAACTCTTCCCATCTCCTTATTACTTGGTTTATAAGGACAAGATGAGGATTTTCACTTTTTTTACCCAGATTATAAAAGTAACCATATATGCTTGTTCGTAAAATCCTACACATTTAGAAGTAAGTTGTGTAAGTTGTTTGATGTTTATTTTTCTAATTTTCTAATTTGCTTTTTCTCTGTTGGAGATATTCTATAATGCCATATGGCTATTTAGTGTTCCATTATGTAAGTGTACCTGATAAATGGATTTTTAAGTATTTAATAATGCTGCAGCAAATATTCTTACACACCTTACATGCTGGATATGTGTATGTGTTTTTTATGTTATGAAATAGCTGTATATATCTGGAGATATTGGGAAGGTAAATTGACAGATTATGCATCTATTAAGATCTTTGTTGTTTCTGACTTAGTATATGTTGAAATATATTACTAGATTTCCTAATAGTGAACTGTCCTTACACTCCTAGAATAACCCTTTTTTTATGTTCTATATTTCTGGATTCTTTTCCTGTATATTAAGGATTTTTGCTTCAGTATTCAGTGTTCTCTTTTTTGTTTACTTTCTCAGGATTTGTTTTGGGTGTGATGCTGGATACATCCAAACAGAAGTACTGTTTTTCCTTCCTTCCATCATTCCTGTCCTTTTCCTTCCCTTTCCCATTCTTTCCTTGTGAGAATATTCAATTCCTTGAGGATTTGAACACGAAAACTCATGGATGCATGTGTCTGGCTGTGGCTGCTTTGACAGCATTCTTCATATCTTCTTTGGTTATGTCCTTCATAAAGTTTCCTACCTTGTGAATTTTTGGCAATCTGTTCTTTCCTAAAATCACTTTTAATTTTCAAATTTAATAGCATATGCTTTTGCAGAGTGTGGCCCTAGAACGTGTTTAATTTTTTTGTGTAATTTTCCCTTTTTATTGTTAACTTTTTGTATTTGGGCATTCTCCCTTATTTCTGTATTATGCTGTTGGTTTATCTATTTTACTTTTGTTGTCGTGTTTTTGTTTTAAGGGAACATACAATCAGATCACCTTTTACATACTAAATTTTGATTGACTACTTCATATGAGCAGTGACTGAGCAAACATTAATATCTGCCATTGCCTTTTGGTTGTTAATTTTGCCAGTACTTCCTGTATGTTTTCCTGCAGAGTTTTTAGCTTATAAACATTCTTGACAATCCTAGTTTAAGGACTGTATCCATAAACATTATAAAGCATCCCCTCTTGGTTGTAGTTCATATTTTTTTTTACTTTAAAGTCTGACTTTATCTCATTATTCTTTTAATCCCTTGCCCTTTTTTTTGACTGATATATTTTTGCCCATTTTTTTGTACCCTGTCTTTTGTGTATATATTTCCTTTGTAGTTGACATACAGTCGGTTTTAACCTTTTGAAATGTCATTTTATATTTATTATCTTTAATATGTGATATATTCGCCCCGTTATTTGTTTGGAAATTATATAATTTGGGGGGGCTCTTTTGTGTATATAAAGTGATTCTCTTTATATCTCTAAGTAATTTGCTTAAACTTATTGGTATCATTTTATCAACTTCGTTCTTTTGTTTTTATTTTCTAATTGACACTTTTTGAAATTTTGGTAATGGTCTATTATAGTGTATTCATGAATTCATTTATTCAACAAATATTTACTGATGTCCTATTATATGCCGCAGTCATTTTGTTAAATATAGGGATACAGTAGTGAACAAGGTAGACCATTCTCTGCCTTTGTGGAGTTTATATTCTAAAGGATAAAGTAGACAATACAAAAAATAAAAATGATTACAGATTGTATCAAATTCTAGGAAAGAGACAAATGTAGTATGTGCAAGCCAGTAAAGGCATGGGGGATAGAGCTCAGAGAAGACCGCCATGGATGGAGGAGCCATGGAATGAGGTGGAGCCAGCCTTGCAAAGTACTGGAATGGTGCCCATGTGTGTGCTGTTGTGGGGGAAGTGGGGTTCAAGCAGAGAATAGTGAAGGCAAAGGTTGTAGTAAAGACTTTGATTTTTTTCACAAACTAGTGGTTTTTTATCCTTTATTCATCAGATTCAGTGGGCCTTGAGTAACAAATACTTTGTAACATCTTCTTTGCTCTTATAAAATGAAATTTCAAGATGATACAACCTACTTTTAGACATAATTTCTTAGAAGTCAGTATAATACTGGGACGCCTGGCTGGCTCAGTCGGTAGAGCATGTGACTCTTAACCTCAGGGTTGTGAGCCCCACATTGGGCATAGAGCTTCTTTAAAAAACAAAACAAAACAAAAAACTGTAATACCCTAACTGTAACAGAAAGGAGAAATAAAAGGAATTGATTTATATTTTATAAAAAATTTATTTCAATACTTTTAATATTTAATCTGTTCAAGCACATATTGGAATATAAAAAGAATATAAATAATATAGTTGTTGACCTTTATGTGTAGAGTCACTATGGGATGCGATGGCTACAGATGGACCAGTACAAATGTCATGATGCAGTAGCAACCTATATACCATGATCAGTGTTTTCCTTAAGCGGTAAAGAACTCTTGGCAAAGGTCTGCAAAATACAAAGTGAAGTTTTTCTGTGACTTGCAAAGGTTAATCATACTATATTCTCTGTATAATATATCTTGTATGTTGCTAGGAAATCATGTGTATATTAAACCACTATAAAAAGTACTTTATATATGTATATAGAATTTGGTTGTAGGCTCAGTTATCATAAACTGATGTTTTTCATTAATCTTTATCCTTTCAAAGAAGGATGGCTGGAGGAAGAAAGGTTTTTCAACAAGGGCAGTATTGATATTTGGAGCTGGGTGATCTTTTTTTTTTTTTTTGGTGTTAGAATTGTTATTCTGTATTGTAGATGTTTTGTAGAATCCCTGGCTGCTTTAGATGTCACTGCCATACCTTTCCTTACAGCGCGACGACTAAAAATGTACCCAGATATACCAAATGTTCCCCCAGGAGGCAAAACTACTTGTGTTGAGAATTCTGTTGAAGGTACGATTTATGTTTATAAAATAGACAACAGTTAATTAAGATATGTTGTCTTCAAGCTTCTTTTCATGAATTTTTTGATTCAGCACATTCACTGATACAACGGATGTCCAAGTGAATAAGGTTTCTGTTCGTGAGCTCACCTAAGACAGAGGGAAGATTGACATAGGAACTCATATAGTAGCTCTTGCATACTGTCATTGTGATGTTCATACAGTGGTGTAGAGACCCTGGGGGAATGTCATCCACAGGAACTTCAGAGGTGGGACAGTGTTCTTTTAGTTGAAATTGTCAGTATGGCATAAATCACTAATTAAAAAAAAAACTGAGTCTTTGCTAATGGTATAAACAGAGAATGCCCCCTGAAAGTTGATGCATATCGTAATATTTATCTTCCTTACTCTTTTTTCATATTTTACTCAAAATGGTTTGTACTGATTGTATTGATGAAGATTTTTGTTTTAACCCAGTAGGTGGCAGTCATGGGTAGAGATGAAATCTTGAATGAGGACGCTTTCAGTCATGCTTAAGATTACCCTTCATTTTATCTGTAAATAGAAGCAAATGTCCTAAAATGAGATGTAGCAAACAAGTAAGGAGAGAGTTTATTTGTAGTAATTTAAAAAAATCAAATAGGTAAGTGAACACAGCGTAGCTGAACTTAGGTATATGTCTTATTTCACAAAAGTGTTTCCTTATATCAGGATCGTATTCATTTAGAGGCAGTATAAATGCAGTGGTTAAGAGGATGGTTTGAGTAGTTAACTGTTGGTTTATATCTTAGCTTTGCTCCTTGTTTGCTTAGACAAGATACTTCTGAGATTCCTTATCTATAAAGTAGGAGTAACGGTATCTGTCTTGTCCTTATGAGAATTAAATGAGTTAATATGAAAGTTCTTAGAGCTTGGAACAGAGCCTGGCGCATAGTAAGAATAGTAGTAACAGTAATATTAGCTATTATTAGTAGAATTAGAAATACCAAATAGTACCAAAATATTAGGTGTTTAAATCTTACCTGATTATTTATTCACATTTCCTTAGCTCTCTGGCTGATTGACTAAGTGGATCTGTAGTTTTGTGTTTTGTTACATAGCAGAGAGCCAGAGCCAGTTTAGCAGCCTGAAGCCACATTTGAGCTGATCTTTTGCGGAAACATAACGTTAATTGGTGTTCCTGGTGACAAGTCCAGTGACAACGCTGATTTTTCTTTCATTGCTGCTATTTTCTTTTCTACCTGGAAGCTTAAACAATTTAAACTTTATCCTTCCAATATAGGACTTCTCTCAGAAACTCTCTTCCTAGAGCTCTGGTGCTGTTTTATTTAGTTCATTATTTTTTAATGGCTATATGATATTCCATTTTATGGATGTGCTTTAAAACAGTTTTTCCGATGCTCCACAGATGGAAATTTAATTTTTGTTTTCCTATATGCTATTATAAATAATGCTTAATACTTACACATAAATATATGTGCACTTGCCTCATTATTTCCATATTGTAGTTTTCTTGAAACAGAATTGTGAGATCAGAAGGTAAGGGATATTTAAAAAATTTTCTTTTCCTTAAAAAAATTTTTTTTAATGTTTATTTATTTTTAAGAGAGAGAGAGAGAGAGAGACATGCAGAATCCAAAGCAGGCACTAGGCTCCAGGCTGACAGCACAGAGCCTGATGCAGAACTCTAACCCACCAACTGTGAGATCATGACCTGAGCCAAAGTCAGACACTCAACTGACTGAGCCACCCAGGCACCCCTAAAAAATTTTCAGTACTTTGCCTAATGCCTTTTGTAAAGTTCGCACCAATATTTTGGGACCAAATTACCCCTTCACCTCAGTATATGGAAAAGTATCCATTTCTTTACCCTCACCAGTACCAGATGTTTTTAGTTGTCTTTGCCAGGATCATAGAAAATAAAGATGATCTTGAATGTATTTTTCTTGCAATGACTTTATAAAATTAAGAAAAACAAGATTATTTCTCTTTGTACCTCTGTCAACTATATATTTTCTGTCCCCCCCATACATTAAAATGTAATTAAATTTCGGATCCTGTGGAATCCTGCCTCTAAAATTTGGCCCTGCTTTCCAGTGTTCATCTTAAGTATTTGTGCAGCTGTGATACATTTATATAGTATATGTAATACTTAAATACTGCAACAGCAGTAAGCTAAGGAAAGGCAGGGATTAATGTAGAAATGTTTTATTGAAAAATAACAAAGATATTGAAGAGTTTTTTTATTCAGGGATTTTCCTCTGAAAATAGCTCAAGCATCACTTTTCTAGCAAAAGAAAGTAGTTAAATTTTGTTTTCATGTACTTTCAATTCCATTGTGCCATTAAAATTTATATTGTATATTCTTTTTGGTGGTACATTAATATGTATATTAGCTTTCTAGACCATTGCTGTTCCTTGTAATAGGTATTATTACCTGTGTAGTTGTGTCTGAAGAGGCCTGAAGTATATGAGCTCTGTACAAATCAAGGTAGAACATCACAGTAGTTTGTCTTTCAAAGAACTGAACCTTTACAATGCTGGTAACATAGATGCTTGGTAAAAAGTGAATTGACTGAAATTTACCATTGAGTAAAAGAGGTTTTTCTCATCTACACTTTTATTCTCTTTATCTTTTTTCTTCTACAAGAGAAAAGTATACAGTTTAATTGTTATGCATTTATATTCTGTAATACTTACTCTAAATAAATGAATACAATTTTTACACATTGGTAGCTAGAATTTAACAAGTTATGGGTTAAAACGCCTGAACTACTTTGTGGGTGGCATACTTCCTTCAGCAGTTGTGGTAAATTAGACATATAAAATTCTGGTTTGGTATAGATTTTAAAACAGTGTTGTGTGCTTTCTTGGAATTAGAGTGATGTTTTTATTGCTGACTTGGAAGTCTGACCTGAAGCTCTTTTCTTTCACATAATCCTGTAGCGAGCACAGCTAGTTGCATTAATCACATTGTTCATTGCAGAAAAAGTGGATAGTTGGGGACTTCTGGCTTCCACTTAAAATGGAGAAAGCTGGTCAAAGCACTGTTCCACCCCTATAGCAATAATAATAAGCCCTAGACAACTGCAGATTTTTACCTGAATCCATCAGAGAGCTTAGGTTCCAGGGCAACCACTTAACCTGAAATCTAAGGAAAGATGGGCACCTCCAAGAAAAGAAGGGATGCAAACACTTGTTTACCTGAGACAGATAAAGAATGAACACCAATCAGAAGAATTCAGTTAAACATTTTAATGAATTGCTGCTGGCTTAAATTGGACTGGTGGGAAGATGTAGAATCCTTGGGGGCCGTGAACGCATGGGAATTCACAGCTACTTGCAGGCTCTTTTCCACAGACTTCACTGGATGCTAACAGAAATGATCGAGCCTGGGGGGGTGGGGGGGGGGGGAGAACGACTGTAGATGCTTCAGGAAAGACATGAAGCCCTGTCTTAGTCCTTCCTGCCTCTCTACTGTGTGACCAAAGCCTTAAACTGTGGTTTGAATAGAGCAGAAAGAAAACCTTCCACCCCTAAGGAAGGGGCAGGAATATGTCCTGGGCCCAGAACTTTAGCAGAGAGGGATGGGCAGGAACATTGAGAAGGCCACAGACCAGCTACCTAGAACATAGTACTTGGCTACGACCAAGGCTTAATCAGAATTTCAGAGAGCTACCACCCCGTACCAGGCTAAGAGATGTAGAGTAATGGATAACAGTGGAATTCTGTGAGAGTTCCAAGAGCTTGGAGGCAGACAGACCATAATGAGATACAGCCTAAACAGAAGACCTAGAACTGCAGATTGAGTAGGCGCTGAGAAAAACTTTGGCAAACAAGCCTCTACCCTAAACACAAGGTGTGACTAGAGCAATTTGAAGCCTGTGGTGCGTTATGGGTATCCAGTACACAAGTACTGGAAATTGTTAGACATGGAATTTAAGATAACTATGATTTATATGTTAAGGCTTCTGGTTTTGAAAAGGCAGGCAATGTGTACGGTCAGGTAGGATATTGGGGCGCCTGGGTTGGTTATGTGTCCGACTTTGGCTCAGGTCATGATCTTGCAGTCCATGGGTTTGAGCCCCGTGTCAGGCTCTGTGCTGACAGCTGAGAGCCTGGAGCCTGCTTTGGATTCTGTGTCTCCCCCTTTCTCTGCCCCTTCCCCACTCATGCTCTGTCTCTCTCCATCTCTCAAAAATGAATAAACGTTAAAAAAAAAAATAAAAAAAGATGAAGTAGGATATTTCAAAGAGGCATGATAAGAAAATCAAATGAAAAGTTTAGAAGTGAAAAACACAGTAACAGACAAAAGAACTCATCAGTAAATTTGGCATAACCAAAGGAAGAATCTGTAAACTTGAACATAGACCCATATGAATTATCTAAACTAAAATACAAACAGAAAACTGAAAAAATAGAACACCCATTAGCTATGAGATAATATCAAGTGGTCTGAATATGTAATTTAAATCTCAGAAGAAAAATAGGACAAAAGAAATAATGGCCAAGGATTTTGAAAAACTAATGATAGACACCAAAGATTGAAGAAGCTCAGAGAATTTAAGGCAAGATAATCCCCCAAAACAAATGACAGAAAAACAGCCAGACATTTATATTCAAACTGCTGAAAGTTGAAGATGATGACAAAATACTGATGGGAGTTAGAGGAGGAAGCTCTTTACAGAGGAAAGAATTGTCATTTGAATCTATGGAAACCCGAAGACAATGCAATCACATCTCTAAAGAATCAAAAGGGAAAAAAATTTCAACCTAGAATTCTGTACCCAGCAGAAAGTCTGTCCATGTATGTATTTGTTTGTTTGTTTAAAAATGTTTTATTTTTGAGAGAGAGTGTGTCAAGAGTGCGAGCAGGAGGGGGGCGGGGAGCAGAGAGAGAAGGAGACACAGAGTCTGAAGCTAGCTCCAGGCTCTGAGCCGTCAGCACAGAGCTGACACAGGGCTTGAACTCACAAGCTGTGATATCATGACCTGACCCAAAGTCTGACG